TGTATAGATGATGAACATAAGGTTTTCTCAGAAAGACGCTTTTGCGTCACCTTTCGATTTTTTTTTTTAAATTTTAGATTAATTCCGTGTAGTTGTAAACCAAGTTATCCCTAATTCCAAAGCAAATTACTGGATTTTTTATGTGTATTCGTTCCGAGCAAAGCTCTCTATCGTTATTCTTAGTGTCCGTTCACGACCCACTCATTTTCGCGGCTCGTCACAGACCCGAAAAATTTTTAAGCATTCATTGCACATTATGTTATTAGCGGTTTCAAGACTAAAAGTACCGTTGATATTCTCCAGCTGTTTACTGTGGCGCTGAGTTGGGGCTAACCGAGTGAAAATGGATTTTAGTTGCTAGGCCCAGTCTTCAAAAAGTCATAAAAACTGTTTTAGAACGAAGTCTTTACATAGTCTAGAAGAGCGCAGGACGCGCTTTAAAATACATGAAATTTTATGGAAATTAAGGGTGTAGAGAACCTCAAGGATTCTCTTATCAAGCCTACGTAACAGGAGTGAATATCTATAGAAATAAGCAAATCACAGTCCAGGCATCAAGTCCTGGATTATGCGCCGTCCAACTCAACTTAGCCCTCTAGCTTCCCGGGATATTTATTAGTTCCATACTTGTCTGAGAGGATGAAAACACTGACGTGGTTGGCCTTTGCATGTCGTTGTAGGACAAGGTAAATCGTATTAAGGATGCTATTACGATTCTAGATATAGGTGGAATACATGGCGCCTCTCAGAAAGTGGCTGAATTCTTCCTTTTTATGTAGTTGCATTTTTGCTAATCGTACATGCCATGCAAAGAGTGGCGGATGCTTCTTGTTGCAGCAGATTCATCATCATTAGCATCAGCTCCTTGCTAGCAACAAAATCACCATCGCGATTTCTTAAAAGGCCATACTCAATAGCTGTTTCCATGCTATGTTTTCGCTGGCTTTTTTCTGGATTTCTCTTCTATTCTTTTATGTGTCACTTCAGCTATAAAGAATGGATGGATTGTGAAAACTCCAGAGAAATCTTTTGCTGTTTACGCAGCTTCGCCGAAGGAGAAAAAAGAATGGATGATTCATATAGAACGTTGTGTCGCCGATCTATTGGAGAAAGGTTGCTCTTATGAACTAGTTTGTTTTGTGATTCTTTCATTCATGACAACATTTGCTGCATATGTCAGGTAATAAGCGACCAGCAAAGGAACATGCAGCTGTTTGGATTCCGGATGGTGAAGCAGCTCGCTGTATGGCTTGTGGGCGCACACAGTTTAACCTTGTACAAAGAAGAGTGAGTATGAGGAGCTACATGGGTGGGGGGGGGGCATTTATGATCGTTTTTTGTCGCCGCTTTTCAAAGGTGTTTTGTTACAGCATCATTGCCGTGCTTGTGGTCGTGTTATTTGCGGTGCATGTTCAACGCATTCCTATCGCATTGATAGTTTGAACAAGAAACCAGTTCGCGTTTGTGATATGGTAAGCATTTTACATTTTCCAGAATAGGGTCTTTTACAGCTTCACCGATTCTGTCGATCTAGGTTCTAGTCAGTGAGCGGTGATGGCCACTTTGTACATCACTCAATATGCTCCAGTTTTTACTTTAAGTTCTTATATGTGCTTTTTAGTGCTTCACTCGCTTGACTGGTGTAACTGATGATAAGGCCTCTAGACAAGCAAGTGATGTACAAAGCAGTCGAGAAGCTCCTCTACCTCCCCCTAAACCAAGCGCAATCGAGTTGGATTACGATGGTGACTCATCGTCAGAGACTGATGAGGAAACAAGCAGAGATGATCATTCTATGAGGGCTACTTCGGTGAGCTCTTTCTAAACATAGATTATTATATTTCTTTCTCTCTGTTATATTTCATTCACATATTCATTTATATCTATTCGTAAAGGTTAATTGGCGTGATTCGCGTAGAGTTTCGTGTACTCGTTAGAGTGTGGACACATATTGTGACCGTAGGTTTTGAGATTGTTGTCATAGACCACATGACGACGGAGGTAACAATTTTTCGGAGCGGCTAGCCGTAGTTTGGTCGACAGTTTAGGGGATCCTAAACATTTGGAAAGAATCGTATGTACGCGCCTGGTTGGGGATGCATTATTGGCCGGGTCTTTGCATGAATCCCCAAGCTATCCGTCATTTTCAATGTGAAAATGCGGAGGTGGTATATGACCCATAGGGTTTCAGGTACACATTTGTCGTCAGTTTGTGCTATTCTACAGAAATGTCACGCGAATTACTTATAGGAGTATAGCCCAATCCCCTATAGCAAGTCTTCGCTATCCATACTAGTTCCTCGTACAGGAATTTCGAGACGAAAACCCTTCTATTCTCTAATGAGTAAGCGGAGAAATTAGGTGGCCCACACCTAAAGGAATAGTACGTCCTCGTGTATACTCGACATATTTCCGTCACAAATCAAATGTCACTTGTGATCACTAGTCCGAAGCGGTTTTATGCAAGGAAATCGTTTTCGAAGAGAAATATGTTTACGAAACCACACTATGGACGGTCGTGGGTAGGTCAGGCGAAAACAACGGAACGCATGGAAAGAGTGCGCCTTTTAGTGGCCTCGTAATAGGCGACGCGTGAAAAGAATCAAGTTGGTGACTTGATGATAGACTAAAACGGATTAAAGAAATAGTATGCAGTGGAAAGAGAAATGTGGATTGCCGCTTATGTGAGAAGCGGAAAGAGTTTTTAATTGAGATGTACTCCAGAGAACCAAACGGATGGTGGTTCGGACTACCTTGGAACTCGGTGCCTGTAAGGTCGGCTCACTCGCGTTTGTCTGCGCTCTCTCGCTTATCAGCGGGTCTGTATGCCAGTGTGTCTCATACATTCAAACTTTTCCACATGTAATTGGATCACCCACCCTGGAGCTCCCCACAAGCTTAATTAGAGGCCTCACTGCTTTGTAGGGATGTTTAGCTGGCAGCAAACGCCCGTTTCTCTGATGGTGTGATCAGCGCCATTCGTTAAGCACCATAAGGACAGTTCAAAGAAGTTCGTAAACGCGGAATGATTCCCGTTGCCAACATTTGTGATGTACGGCAGGAATTTTAGCGCATATAAATCCTTTAGGTTTTCCTAATGTTCACGAGGACACACACATACACACAAAATTTTTGTTCTTTTCCTCTTATCGTGAATGGCTCTGGCCAGTAGTTAAGGGGTGAAATGGAATCATGGTTTTTCCGTGGATGATTCCTTCAAGCCTTTCATAAGTGAGGGATCGCACTGCCTTCTTTTCATGAACCTGGTGTGAAGCGCCCCCTTGTTCCTCTTTTTTGCGCGCAATCTTTGTCGTTTTCTCATCGTCTCATTTCAGGTATTGTGAATTTAAGTTCCCCTGCCTAGGCGCCCGCTTCCATGTCTCTTTCACTGTCATCTATGGCTTCTGTCATCTTACTGTCACGAGAATAATATGAACGCTTCTCTTGCTCTTTATCATTGATAACATCATTGGAACCTTAATTCCTATTTGCGGCTTGTCGAAAAATGTATGTCGCACGTTCATATAGTAATTATAAATGGTTAGATATTATAATTAAATACTAAACAATATTAACGAAATGAACGTCATGAGGGGTTGTGAGAGTGTTTGGGAGTTGCTATGATGAGAAGTTGTTCATATGCAAGTTTTAGGGAATGGGCAAACCTATTCCTCATTTCCCTGATCATTATCTCCAAATTTTGCATAGATGCTTTTTGCAAAAGATCAACTTTCTGCAGCGCTTTTTATGCGTAACCCCTTTTCGTTCCGAAATCTAAATCGTTCCGAAATCATTGCTCTTGCTTCTCATTGCTGTGTTTCGATGACCAGTGTAGACTTTCAAAATGCTTCTTGCCTGCCATGTTTGTGTCCTCATTGAATCATTTTTAGCCGACGTTTTATCGCGAGGAGGTTGGCCAGTAACTTCGAGCGTTCGTTTCCATCCTGTCGTCCGCTAAGCCGTCACCAATGCAGTTTTCATTCTTTCATGATCAAATCGGTGGAGGCGAACATATGAAACTTCAGTACTTCTGCAATGGTCAGACAAAAATGTATGCTAATTTCATGGAAAGATTATACTTCGAGATTTGAAGTCATTATTCATTGAGTTTTTTTTTGACATTCGCTCACTTGCACACTGGAGTGAATGCAGATTTCTGCGCTCTTGTCTATTGTTTACTCTTTCGTTTTGATTTGGAAACAATTCATGTTCTAGAATGCGTATTCTCATACCGATTCCTATGATGTGCACGTCTTTGTGATATACCGAATCCTGTGATCTTATGTTGGTTTGAGGTGATTTGCATGTGTGCTCTCACCATACATTTGTGTTCTTGGAGCAAAAGTTGGTCAAAAATAGTTACTCAAACGTGTGCATTTGTCTTCGCTTCGCGTGGAGCTGGGTCTGTGCCATTACCGTGGATCAGTTACTGTTTTTCGGGTGACTCACTTAGTTTAATAGACTGTGGAACTTAGTTGGTCAAATTGCACCCATCATAGGAAGCGACTCATGACTTCATGATGGCGTGAGCAACTCTATTTGAACTACTTTACCTTTGTGGCTTGCCTTGGTTTTGGTAACTGTCAGCGATGATGGCTGGTCCCTTGATATCTGGTTCATAGTCGATAATGATTTGGTTAAGATTGGTAGAACCCTAGAAAACCTTTTTTACTTGTACATATCTATAAGTTTGAAACGAATTGCTGTAGATCCCTGTGGCAGTTCCTTAGGGTCAAGAAGTCGACCATTCACCAGCCGGGACCAGTGCAGTAAAGGACATTCTTTGAAGTTTACAGTGATTAACACATTCTATATTGTAAAGGATGCCCCCACAGCATTTCCGCGCTCAGCTGATCAGCACACGTTACTCTTTTTGCAATGCTCGCAATCTGCTTTTATCATTTCGTCTCTGCCTGGTATGACCCTCATCCTTTGCGTACCGTGGGCTTCATGTGGTGAATCACGCAGTAATTTGCCTTCAATTGGCAAAGATTCATGCTCCAAAGTGGTCAGTATAAATTTTAAGATCCTCAAAACAAGTCGCATGTGTGGGATACTGCCAGCCGAAATAGGCGCAAAATTCTGTACATTTTGTGAAATCTCCAACTGCAGTTTCTCTTTCTCCTTCCTCAAACACTACTACTTTTTTTTTAAATTTACTTTGTAACTCACTTAGCATGCCGGTTTCTCCGTCTGTAAAATGTCCTCTTCATACAAAAATAGGATAACGGAGCTTAAGAAACCAGCCGCTATCGGAACTGAGAAGCCAATCGCTTTGAACCTGAGCGTTTCGTGATGCTTTTATTGTTACAACATCCCATCGTATGTGTAAGTAATCAGGAACCAACAGTCAGCAAAACTGGTATTAATTAGTGCTGAGTAGTCGGTTCAGTGTAACGTTATGATCGTGGTAGCATCTTCCTCTAACTTTTGAGACACTTATCTCATACATGCACTCCACAAAGTACACAAATGAATATAAGTATGAATAGCGGAGGGGTGCAGGGAGTGTGGAGGAAGGGGAAGTTGTGGCGAATGCCGTGAAGGATATCGGGATTAATGAAAACAGAACACTGGTAACAGAGCGAACGAAAGACGGTATAAGTGATCGTAATTTAAATTTTGCACATCCAATATTTGCTTCAACCTTTTGAGAGCACCTCTACACCTGCTGCTGGCTCATTACATGTTCATCTTGATCACATTTAGTCATTAAACTTGTCATCACATTCACATACTTAGACATGTCGAAAACATATACCGTATAAACAGTACTCATTGGAAGTCTATTTGTAATAGCTATTTATATTATGTTGATATTTACTAAGACATACGTATAGCACGCGAAGGTGAGGATAACGAAAAAAAACCCCGCCGTAGGTTAATGACCCTGATGCCTCGTTGCGATTATCTCACTGTTGCTCATTTACAGCTAATGATCCACTCAACTTCGCTTCAGCGCAAGTCTTCTGACATCTCTAATTGCCTCGATTTTCGAGTTCTGCGAATTTAATCTATGTAAGCAGTGTGATTTGACTGAAAATTGAAGTTGCATCTCATTCCTCCATACGCCACAATATCGATGATCGAATTGTTTGAAAATTTCTGGTTCGTTTTTTTCCTCGCCCTTACCACTGCCCAAAGTATTGTTATTTATTTTTGTTAAGTGACCTATTTAAAATACTCTCACAGAATGACTGGTAGAATAATTACTTTCGTAAACCATTCGCTAGCGTCACATGTTCCGAGTATGATTGTGTGCTAATGACGCGCTATTATTGGGTTGTCCAAAGAGTTTCCGCCGTTTTCAGTGACTCAATTTTTAAACGTTTCATTTCTGATTCACTTCTAAAACACTTTATATAGCAACAGAAAGCTCGTTATTCGCTCTGTCCAAATCTACTGTCGCTTCAACATTGGAACACCTTTCTCCACTTTTTGAAGTCTTGTATACACAAATTTGATCGGAAAAGTGTTGAAGAAAGTCGGGATATCAACCGAGTATTTGGTCGCCTTATCAACTGCCTGCGGCATGCGGCTTCACTGAATCATATCTTCTTCTTCTTCTTATTCTTTAGCGTCTGTCCCGCTTGTAAGGCGGGGTCCGCTTTTCTTATGTGTTGACGCCACTTTTCCCGATTAAATGCTTGATCGGGGTGGATATTAACTGACTTCAAGTCTACGTGCAATGTATCGAGCCATCGCTGCTTCGGGCGCCCCCTAGGCCGCTTTCCGGGCACGTCAAGGTTGAGACCGATCTTACGTCATCTTTCGCGCGAAGGACATGACCATACCATCGAAGACGGGCTTCGCGCATCTTGTCGACAATTGGAGCCACCCCGAATCGCTCTCTGATGACATCGTTTCGGATGTGGTCTACTCGTGTGACTCCGGCTGTCCATCGCAGCATCTTGGTCTCCATCACACTTAGCCGTGCTTCGATCTCTTTAGTCGTAGGCCAGCACTCAGCACCGTAAATCGCGACCGGCCGGATGACGGTCCTATAGATCTTAGATTTGAGACGTTCTGGCATGTTTTTATCGCAGAGAACGCCAGTCATCGAGCGCCATTTCGACCAGGCTGCATTCACGCGAGAATTCGTTTCGAAGACCAGGCTGCCGTCAGACGCGATTGCTGATCCAAGATACTTGAATGATGTTGCACGAGTGAGTTCAGTACCATTGATCTTAATAGAGCCTAACTCACTCGAATCGGTGGTCAAGTACTCAGTCTTCTTAACGTTCAGCTTGAGCCCGAACATAGCTAGACGATCGGACCAGGCTTGTACCTGTTGCTCGAGCGTGCTTTTATCTTCGCTAGCGAGCATCACGTCATCAGCATAAAGAAGTGTCCATGGAGCCGGCTTCTGGAGATCTCTCGTAATGGCATCCATGACGACAACAAATAGGAGTGGGGATAACGCAGAGCCTTGATGTACCCCGACAGAGATGGGAAAATCCATCGATGTTCCTGCTGCCGTTTGCACTCGGCTCTTTGGACTCGAGTAAAGGATGCGCACCCACTCGACGAGCTCTTCAGGCACGCCATGCTGTCGTAAGGCATACCATATAACGTCCCGCGGAACGCGGTCGAATGCCTTCTCCAAATCTAGGAAGGCAAGGTGCACCGGTCTTTGTTTCTCGCGATGCTTTTCTAGCAGAAGGCGAGCGGCATGTATGGCATCGATAGTGCTGCAACTAGCCACAAAACCACACTGGTTGGGTCAGCTCGACGATGTCCCGGATACGGCTATCTACAACTCGCTCAAAGATTTTCATGCTGTGCGAAAGCAGGCGAATTGGACGATAGCTAGTGCAGTCTCCTGGACTGCCCTTCTTCTTCCAGATAGGAATCGTCGTGCTTTGTTGCCAGCTTTCAGGCACCTTCTTCTCTGCAACGATCTGGTTGAAGAACTCCGTCAACCATTCTGCAGGATTCCAGCATTTTGATTTCCACAAGTCCGCCGCTAAGTCGTCAGGACCAGTTGCTTTGCCCTGATTTCATCTTCTTCATGGCCGTGATGGTCTCCTCCACGGTTATCTTCTGAACGGGACCGTGTACTGGCGGAGCGCAGGGGATGGCGGGATGAGTAAATTCGACTGTTGAGATGTTTTCGAAGTAGTCACGCCATCGTTTCAGTGTTTTCTTGCGGTCCGTCAAGAGGTGGCCATTCTCGTCATTTATGCCGAAGAATTTTTCTATATCCTCGGTCTGGCGATGGCGGGTCTTTGCAAGTCGGTAAACGTACCGCTCTCCATCGCGCGACTCGAGTTTCTTACTGATATCAGCAAAATGAGCTGCTTTCGCAGAAGCAACGGCCTTCTTTGCCTCTTTCTTCGCTATCTGATAGCTCCGCCAGTTCTCAGCTGTCTTTTCGTGAAGAAATGCGTGGTACCGCTTCTTCTTTTCGCGCACTTTCTCTCTGACCTGGTCCGTCCACAGCCACGTTTGCTTGTCAATTCTCCGCCGCCCCGGCTTCGTCATCCCGAGCTCGGATCGAGCTATCCGAGTTATTTCTTCGGCAGCACCTTTCCAGGTTTCGTCGACAGTCGTTACCGCTGGTAATTGAATGCGGGAAACGACGGCCGCTTCTTTTTCCTTCAGTCGCCACCACTTGATTCTCGCTGGCCCACACCTTTCGGTTAGTTTCGGTTTCGGCGGGGCGATCTTTAGCGTACAAATTAGTGGTCGGTGTTGCGTGGCGACCGTTTCATAAGGCACTGTTTTCGCGTCTGTTACGAGCCCTTGGTCGCGGCGCCTGACAAGTACGAAATCAATTTGTGTTCTAGTGTTACCGCTATAGAAGGTGATGAGATGTGAGTCGCGTTTTCGGAATTTCGTGTTCACAATGGCGAGGTTGTGCGAGTCTGCATACTCGAGAATTCGCGCCATCAGTGTTACGTGACCCATATCCAAAACCACC